ATGAACATGATGATGATGATGTTGATGATGATGATGATGATGATGATGATGATGCGGGTGAATGTGATGATGATAATGATGATGATGCTGAAGATGATGAAGATGATGAAGATGAAGATGATGATGATGATGATGATGATGATGATGATGATGATGATGATGATGATGATGATGATGATGATGCTGATGATGATGCTGATGATGATGATGATGCTGACGCCGTCGTCGCCACGACGATGATGCTGATGCTGCTGCTGATGCTGCTGATGATGATGATGATTATGCTGATGCTTCTGACGATGACGATGATGACACTGATGATGACGATGATGATGCTGCTGCTGCTGATGATGATTATGATGCTGTTGACTGCCGCGGCGATGACGACGATAACGACGACGACAATGACGATGAGGATGTCGACGATGGTGATAATGATGACGAGGATGATGCTGATGATAATGATGGTGGTGGTGGTGGTGGCAATGGTGCTGTTGCTGGTTATGATGATAATGACGATTATGACGATGAGGATGATTACGATGATGCGGATAATGGCAATGCCAATGATGATGATGATGATGATCATGATGATGATGATCATGATGATGATGATGACGCTGATGATGATGATGATGATGATGATGATGATGATGATGATGATGATGATGATGATGACGTCGACGACGACGAAAACGACGATGCTGATGATGATGACGATGCTGATGGTGATGGTGATGCCGCTGTCGTTGTTCGTGGTGATGGTGGTGATGGTAGTGATGATGGTAGATATGATGTGATGATGATGATGATGATGATGATGATGATGATGATGATGATGATGATGATGATGATGATGGTGCTGCTGCTGCGCTGCTGCTGCTGTTGCTGCTGCGGGTGCTGCTGACGATGAGGATAAGGATGAGGATGAGAATGAGGATGAGGATAATGATGCTGATTAGGATGATGCTGTTGCTGCTGATGATGATGATGCTGTTGACGGCGGTGGCGGCGACGACGACGACAACGACGACGACGATGAGGATGACGACGCTGATGATCATGATGATGATGGTGGTGGTGGTGATGATGATGATGATGATGATTATGATGATCACGATGATGATGATGCTGATGATTATGATGATGATGATGATGATGATGATGATGATGATGATGATGATGATGATGACGAGGGTGATGCTGATGATAATGAGGGTGGTGGTGGTGGGAATGATGGTGCTGCTGCTGATTAAGATGTGAATGACGATTATGATGATGCTGATGCTGATGCTGATGATGATGATGGCGATGTCGTTGTTGGTGGTGATGGTGGTGATGGTAGTAATGATGATGAACCTGTGATGATGATGATGATGCTGATGATGATGCTGATGCTGATGATGATCATGATGATGATGATGCGCTGCTGCTGCTGCTTCGGACGATGATGAGGATGAGGATAAGGATGAGGATGATAATGAGGATGAGGATGAGGATGAGGATGAGGATGATGATGAGGATGAGGTTGAGGATGAGGATGATGATGAGGCTGATGCTGCTGCTGATGCTGCTGCTGCTGATGATGATGATGATGATGATGATGATGATGATGCACCTTCTTCATCCCCTCTCCTCAGATCCAGGCGTCGCACGAACATCGGGACAGCTAGTTTATCGCTATTGTCGACGCCCCAGAGCCTCTTCGGGGCCCAGCAACGTTGAGAAACAGCTCGGGATGAGATGCTGGGCCCTAGGGATGGGGTCCAGAGTCCGGGGGTACACTTCTCGGGAGAAGGATCAGGTGGGATGAGGGGGCCCTTCCCCTCCTCCTTTTCGTTTCTTGTCTCTCGCCTTCGGGTTCATGGACTTCTCGTTCGGCATCAGTGTTCCTTAAGATCCGACGCTGCGAGCAAAAATGCAACATCGCGAACAATCGCGACTTGAGCCCTAGACCCAATCTTTCCGCAGCATCGAGCCAGATCGATCCCGGGGCCCGAAACCAGGCGGCCGCACCTGGTGTCAAGATACTGTAGTGTCTGGACATCAGGGCTTCTTGTCGGCCTTATTACCCACTGTGAAGGGGGACTCACCTCAGGTTCTCGCTTCAGGGCACGCTCTACCTCACCCCTCGTGAACATCCGAGCACCTTCGAGAGGTCCGCGCGCCATCTTGGGCCGTCTTGGGACCAGGCTGCCCGAAAGGGCTGGCCTTCCCCCCTGGGCCCATCCTTCCCTTGCATCCTTCCCCTTCGGCCCGTCCTTGGCCGCCTTCGCTGGCCGCGCCCCGCTCGCAGAGTGTCGACATGGCCTTCCAGGGCTCTCGAATCCGTAGCGTGCGCCCTTATTCTCCTGGTTGATTGTACCTGGTCATTGAAAGTAGGTATTTTTGGAATCCCAGGTTCCAGCCTACTTTAGGCGCTCTCCTACTTCAATCATGGAGTGGTCTTCGCTCTTCCCTCCTCTTCAGGAGGCAGGCGGACGCCCAATCCACTTCCAACGCCTTCGCACTTCATGTTTCCACCCACCTCTTCCGACCGATGGGTACGCTCCCCCGGGCGCTCGCTTCAGGGCGCTCGCCTCCCTGCGCTCTTTGGCCTCGGGTGTCCCCCTCCTCGTCACGACAGGGCGCGTCTCGGGGGCCCAGGGCCAGGATGGGCCTCTCCTGGGGTCCCTTGGGTTGGTCCGGAGGAGGAGGAGGAGGAGGAGGAGGAGGAGGAGGAGGAGGAGGAGGAGGAGGAGGAGGGAGGAGGAGGAGGAGGAGGAGGAGGAGGAGGAGGAGGAGGAGGAGGAAGGAGGAGGAGGAGGAGGAGGAGGAGGAGGAGGAGGAGGAGGAGGAGGAGCAGGAGGAGCAGGAGGAGGAGCAGGAGGAGCAGGAGGAGGATGAGGAGGAGGAGCAGGAGGAGGGAGGGGCTGGTCTTGAGATGAGCCGTTGGTCGGTCGCGGGGCGGCCGCCCGAGGGGGTGGGCTCAAAAGAAGGCATGGGGGGGGGCTGCTCGTCGGCCCACCCGGCTTCACCGAGGAGCGTTCCCAGAAGCTCCTGGGGCCTCCTCCTTCTCCTCCTCCTCCTCCTCCTCCTCCTCCTCTGAGAGGGCCTCTGCGGTCCAAGAAGCTCCGCCGAGGCACGGGGAGCGGGCTGCTCGTCGGCCCATCCGGCTTCCTTTCAGGAGCCTCCTCAGAAGCGCCGGGGCCTTCTGAGAGGGCCCCTGGCGTCCGATAAGCCCCGCGGCCTTCTCGGAGGGCCGCCCCCCTAGAGCCACCCCTGTGTCGACGGAATACACACGGGGACCACGACCAAGATGTCGCGGGATCTTGTCGATGACGTTCTTAGTCATGGTCCATGGCGGCCTTCGCTGGCTCGCGAGCACGACCTGACGCTGACCAGGATCGACAGTGACCAAGATCGACACGACTTTCCCGCGTTCGGTCTCGGTCATGGCCCCGGCGCCATCGCCTGGCCCCGCGTAGGGCCGTCCCCTCGGGACGCTAGAGGCGCAGCCTTAGCCTCAGCCTCAGCCTCAGAGTGGCCCTGCCGCCCTCGGAGAGACCGCTGCAGAAGCCTCTTGCCCTTTCCATCGGCGTCACCCCAACATACTGATGCTACGTGTGCGTCGCCTCCCCAGGGGCGACGCGCGCACCGAGAAATCCTATAGCACATGCGTCGTGGCGGGCGCTCTCTGGCCGCACCGCTCGGGAAACGACATCCTTCAGGATGGGTATACCATAATTATGTTCGGCTCCGGCGCGCGCCTCCAAGGAGGACATTCAGGAGGGGAAAAGACACAGACACAATTACTCGTCGATTCCTTGGAAAATATGGGAAAATATGGGAAGTGGGGGTGAAGACTGAAACCTATAAAATATGAAAAAATATGGAGAATCCGGGTATTTGTGTATTTATTTGTGTGTCCCTGGGCCCCTCCATGCTTAACGGGACGAGGGGGGGCGAAGACCGACAGCCGTCCCTGCCCACTGCTCGAGCAGGCCTTCCCGCCGGCGCCGCCGTGGAAGTGCTGCCCATCTGGGACAACCCGCCGGGTGCCTGCCCAGTGGCGGCAGCTGACGCGGTTCGCGGTTGGGCATCGCACCCATTTGCCGGGTGCGCCAGCAAGAAGCACCCTGCCTCGTTGGAAGCCCCCACCAGGCAGTGCCCCCTTTGGAGATTTTTTTTCAAGGGTCTTGCGATAGCCCGGATTAGCGGGCCTGCCCGTCCCCCCCCCTCCCTCCGTGTGACCTGACCTTGTCGGTTGCGCAGGCCCGAAGGAGGTACGGAGGGCTGGCGCGCGCGGGCGCACGTGGGGATGCCCAAAGCGAAAAGGTCAGGCCATCGGCCGGCACCTCCCTCCCGCCCCCCACCAGACAACATGGGCTATCACCGCAAGCATATAAGACGATTTCTTGGCGCGCCGCCAGCCATGATCGTCGGAACCATCCCAACCTCGCCGCGGACAGGGCAAGGAAGGCATCTATGCCAGCGTGCCTCCTCTGTGCGGGGGATGGGCGCTGCGGGGCCCGAGGGGGGCGGCACCCGTCCCCGCCCAGGGGATCGCGTCGGCTAGCGGGGCCAATGCTTCCCTGATGGGGTCGGGGACGATTCTACCCGCCCACGCCCTTGGCCCAGTTGGCTCTTCCAGCGTAGCCCCTCTTGCGTGGGGATGGGCCCGAGACGGTACCCAGTGCCACTTGCGCGGGGATAGGTCGGCCGGCAGGGCCTGGGCTTCCCCGGTGGGGTCGGGGATAACTTGTTTTGCGTGTGCAGGCCCTTGGCCCAGGGGCAACGACAGGCGGGGACGGGCTCATGGGGGAGCGCGTCGACCCCGAGACGCCCACACCCACTCATCGCCGACGGGGGTCCGATAGTCCACCCTGCCCAAGAACGTGCCGTTTTGGTATCGGGAGCCTGTGGCCGGTCTATCGGCGATGAGTCACCGATTCCCAGTCGGTGTTCTCCCCTCTGCGCGAGTCTCCCCCTATCGTTCCCCTTCATTGGCGCGCCGCTAGGATCTGCAGCTGGACATGGTTCCGTCCGCCTCCGCGGGGTCCGGACAGGTGGAGGGCGACGGCCAGATCGCAGCGGCCACGGCGACAAATGTCAGCTCGGGCTGACCACCTCGCGGGACCATGGGAGGCCACGCCTACAAGTCGGTTGCTGAAAGTCCGCCGACCCTGTCGGCGTGTGTGACGGGCTTGTCCGTTCGAGTCGTCCTCTTCGTCTCTGCCGGCTCCTTTCCTTGCGGCCCCCATTTCCCTTGGGTCCGTCGCCGTTCCCCCCCTTTTCCTGGGCTCTCGTCCCCAAGCGCGCCAGCCAAAGCGAAATCGAGTAGCGCTGTAATTTAATCGAAGGGAAGCCCTCTCTCTTTGACCTCTCCCCCGTTTGGGGGGGGGTCCGGGGGGGTCCAGGAGGGGGGTCCCGGCGTGCGGGTCACATTGCAACCAGAACGGCCATTACAAACAGATGGGGCACTTTACAAGCAGCATGTGTTTTCCCAGAAGGGCACTTTACAACCAGGAAGGCCACTCTACAACCAGGCAGTTAAAAGCATCTAATCGACACATGTTCTTCAATTTCCCAAACCACGTAAGGGAGACACTTCGCACTCTGAAGCGTGTTGGTTGTAAAGAGGCTTGTTTGAGTAAGAATCTGTGAAGTGGCGGATTCCTAATGGGATCCAACGGGAATCCTATTGGAATCCAATTGGCACCCTTCCCATTGGGATCCGATTGGCGCCAGATGAATCCCATTGCAATCCAACAAGATTCCTCGCTACGGGGCCTACCGTTGTCCTACTGGAATCCGACAGGGATGCTTCCTGTTGAAACCCTTTGGGGCCTTTCGTAATGGAAACCAAGTGAAAACCCCATTGGATTACAATCGAGGAATCATCCTACTGGAATGCTGCGGGAAACGCAGTAGAGTACTACATGGAAACCCTGTGGGAATCATTTTGGGTTCTTATTCGGAAGCAGTGGGAACCTTTTCTCTTGGAGCCCAATCGGAACCACATTGGCGAACACGACAGATATCGCAGTTGGAATCCAATCGGAATCCTTTATTTTCGATCCATACGGGCAAGCTACTGGGATCCCATCAGGACCCAACTTTAACTCAACAAGAAGCTGTCCTCTTTGAGTCATTATGTCACCCGGTCGGTGTCGTATTGTTATCTTTGTGGTATCCAAAAGGAGCTGTTGGAACCCAGTTGAGATCCAATCGGGCTTCTCCCGCTAACAGGCTGGTGACAGGCTAAGCTTTTCCTTTTTCTATATATAAAAGAACTAAATATAAAAGCAACACGAAACACTGATCAAGTATTTATTTGTTTATTGATCTACTAGTATCTATTTATAGGACAAGTAAACGTATAAACATTATGCTTTTTTGTTAAGCATGCCCTAAGCATACATCGTTTTTTTGGGCATCGTACCCTCTGCCTAAAAATCTTGCTTCTTCTGTCAAACGAAACCAGTAAGCGTCCGCCGCAAAAGTTGCACAGCAACACGCGCGCTCCCATGAGAGCGGACATGTGGCCAAAACAACCGTTGGTATATTTCTAGTCAGTACATGTGGACTGCAAATAGTTTTTCGCATCATCGACATTTTTGTCCTCGCGCCTCATCGTCTGGCAAGAACACAACCGTATGTTTTCGCATGTGCGGAAGCATGCGTACCCAGGAAAACGGAAATGTGGCCAATGATTATTTGTTCATTTCTAGCCAATACAGGTGGATGTCAAAGTGTATGGATTTTCGTAGACCAGGCTAATCCTCGCGCCTCATCGTCTGACACTCGCAAAACCTTTTGTGTGTTCCCCCCAATTGCGGAAGCATGCCTACCCAGGAGGGCGCCATTGTTAAACCATGGCTTCGACGATCGCCCCGAGAGTGCCCCAAGACCCCCCCCCAAAGGAACCCCAAGATGCCCCCCAAACGGCTCCAAGTGGGCCAGAAACGTTGCCAAACAAATCTCCATAATGGCTCCACGAGGCCTCCACGAAGCTCGCGGAATTGCGAAGGCTTGACGGGCCTCCTCAGACTGATTCACGGATTCGACCAGAAGCCTTTGGGGCGCGTTCAGAAGCTTTTGGGGCGCGTTCGGAAGCTGCCGAAGAACGCTCAGAAGCCATGGGAAAAGCTCAGAGGCCACTGGTAAGCCCTCAAAGGTCACTGGTAAGCATTCAGAGCCAGTGGGAAACGCTCAGAGGCCACTGGGAAGCGCTCAGGGGCGCTCAGAAGCCTCAGCACGGGCGAGATGCGACTCCCCGGGGGGGTGCCCCAGGGAGGGTCGCCACCCAGGTGCGCCTCCCTCCCGGGGGGCCCAGGTCCCACAAAAAGCCTAGGACGGGCCAAGAGTGCCCGAATATGCCCTCAACACCGTCCATGGGCCGTCTCGGGCCATTGGAAGGGCGAAAAGAAGCAAATGCCAAAATCTTTCAAACACCTAAGGACAATCAGTAATTGTTGCCTCTGCGGGCCTTCCTGGAGGCCCTTTTGGAGGCCTCTTGGGCCGTCTTGGGCCATCTTAGGGCCATCTTCGGCTGTCTTGGTGGGCTCCTGGCCCGTCTGACGCCGTCGGAAGCCGTTTTGGGGACCTCTCTGGGCACGCTCGGGCATTTTTTCCCTGTTAACAGAGCCCTTAACAGGGACTTAACAGGGAAAATCGTGTGACCGACGCGTTTTTTCCTTGTAAACGGACCGTTAACAGGGAAAAGTGTTTCTTGTTAACGGACTGTTAACGGACCCTGAACACCGCGGCTCCCAAGAGCGAGCAGTGACGTAAAGAAGCTGAGAAGACCAAGGCTCCCAACAGAGAGCGGTGACGTAACCAGTTCTTGACACCAGGGCCCGAAACGGGCGGCAACGTAAGTTATGTGTAAGGTTTGCGTAGGCTTCGCGTAAGCGCGTAAAGTCCTCGTCAACTTGAGATACCTTCAAGACAGCCCATGAAAGATCAAGCGTCCTCCAAGACGGTCCAAGATGCCTCCAAGAGGACCCAAGAGGCCAGAGGCCCGTAAGATCGCCCCAAGATGGCCCAAGATACCCCCAAGACGGCCCCAAGCCGTGTTCGAACATCTGCGCGTATGCAGACGGCTTCAACGGCCTCCAAGACGGCGTAGAGAGGCCCAGACGGGTCCGAGGACGGCCCAATAGCGATCCAGATAGCCCACGACGGCCTCAATACGGCTGAAGAGGTCTCCAAGACCCCCCCCCCGAGCACCGATGGGCGGTCTAAGCGGGAAACAACTACGAAAGTAGGGCTTTCGCCGCCCGGGGGGCGCCCTTGGCCCCGCCCTACCTGCAGAAGCTCCTCGCCAGCTTAAGGCACCTCCAAGACGGCGTGAGAGAGGCCCAGACGGGACCGAAGACGGCCCAAGAGCGATCCAAGATAGCCCAAGATGGCCTCAGCACAGCCCAGGAGGCCTCCAAGACACCCCAAGCGGCACCCGAGAGTTCCCCCATCGGTGCTGAAGGACGCGTAAACCATCGTTGCCGTTAGGTTTATGCAGGTTTTCCAGCTCCTCGCCTTTTCGGGGGCAAGACCGGCCCGATACAGCTCCAGAGCCCCCCGAGATTGTACCATGACGGCCCGAGAGGCTCCCAAGAGAGCCTGAGGACGGCCCAGAAGGGCCCCAAGAGGGCCTAAGAGAGCCACAAGACGGCTCAAGAAGGGCCTGGGAGACGCCCAAGATGCTCCCAAGAGACAGTATGTCGTCGTCATCATCATCAACAGTATGATCCTAATCTTCATTCGTGTTTTATCGCGCTCTAGTGCCTTCCCAAGATACCAACACGCCCTGGTTCCCCCTCAAGAGGCCTCCTGCAGCTTCGAGATAGCCCTAGAGGGCGCCCAATATGCCACCAAGAAGTCCCAAGAGAGCCTCCAGACGGGTAGACAGAGAGAAAGAACGGGCAAGCCAGCGACATCTCACGCTCTGAAAGTAAATGCGCGTTCCGTCCCCGTGCCAAGCAGGTCTAAAGGCCTCCGGCCCATCCCCCCACCGTGCCGCTGGGTCCGTCTTGAAGCCCTTCTGGGCCCGAAAAAGTCACGCGCCACCACGCGCCAAGCCCCAATGGATCCACGGCAAGACCGGAAGATTTGGCAATTTGGGCTCCGGGGCCTGTGAAGATTCCTCAGGACTGAGGATTGAGGCTCAGGGGATTATGCAGAGGACCTGAGGACACGCCCACTCCGTGCCCAGTGGCACGGTGGCGCATCGGCGATGCGGCTCGATGTGGAGCCCAGTTTTCTCCACGCCGACGTCGCTGATGCATCGCCGACGTCGCCAGTGCATCGCCGATGAATCGGCGATGTACCGGCGATGCGGTGTGATTCTCCGACCCCATTCGCTCCGGTCCCATTTGCGAGGCCTCCATCCTCTAGAGACTGCGCGGGCGGCAGCGTACACGGCCCGCGCTCGCGGCGCTTACCAGCGAGAGGCCGTGCCACGCAGGCAGCGGCCACCGCAGCCTGCATTTTTGGAGGCCCGAGCGGAGTTCCTGTGTCGGCGCTGGCCTTCTTCCCCCGGCGAAGCGCGCCAGGGGCGGCGCCGGAGGCGCGGCCAGTTCGATCCAGAGCTTCATTCAATTTGTATTTGTTCCCTTCTCAAGGGCAGGCAGGCAATGCATGGCCTTTTTCTTCCATGTTCTGCTCAGGGCTGGCTCTCTAGCCGTCCAGATCTATCTATCTATCCGCCCTCCGCGAGGAGGATCAAGGCGGTAAGAACCACGATCGCTGCACCAGGTGTGAGTATGCAGCCCAAAACGACATAGGCATAGACTTTCGGACGTCCGCGCGGATTTCTTGGGTCGGCGTTGGACCCCCCTGCCCGCGCGCAGATCGCGCCGGGCCCGGCCCAGGCGGTGACGGGGGTCCAGCGCCGACCCAGGAAGACCCGCGCGGATCTCCGACAGCTTGTGTGTTACGCCGTTTTCTGGTCTTCGAGTGAGCCTTCGGGATGCGCATATCCCGGACCTCGCCCCTAAGACCGAGGCGCGTTTTTCACCCGCCATGCCGCCCGAGCGCGAAAAATTGAGCGGGGCCGGGCAGGGCGGAGGGCGTGCGCTCATGCAGGGCCTCTGCTGGCAGGCGGGCGCGGCCCACCCCAGCGGGCGAGAGCTCGGGGGGCCCCCACGAGCGGCGGCCACTTCCATACCTCGGATCAGAAAACGCTGCATCAAAAACGTAATCCTGCGGAGCTCCGTGCGGATTTCTCTGATCGGCGCTGGGCCCTCTTGGCGGCGTCTTCGTCGTTGCCCCTGGCGCGCTCCGCGGGCCAGGGAGGGGGGCCCAGCGCGGCGCCGATCCGAGGAGTCCGCGCAGAGCTCCGACGGTTGACGCTTGCGCCGCCTCTGCTTCCCCGAACGCTCCGTGCCCTCGCGGTCTGGGCGCCGACGCGCCATCCCGCGGACGGGCGATCCGATCCCGTGGGCGCGTTCCGCCCAGGGCCTCCTCGCAGCGCCGCCCCGTGCCCACGGTGCAGCGGCCGAGGGGCCCAGGCCCCTCGCCCGGCCCAGACGGCCAGCGCTTCGACTTCTGTGGATGCGGGGGCCCCCAGGCGCGCAGGCCCAGAGGTTGACACCAGCACCGATTTCGGCGGAGTGCCTCCACCGAGGGAGAAGAATATCCCGATCTCGGTGATGGTGGTGATGTTCTGGCTTCCAGGGTGCACCAACACCGAAATCTAGGATCATCTTCCCCCTGCGGAGGTACCCCCCCGTGTTGGTTTTGGTGCCCATTTCCAGGCCTCCAACAGACCTCTCGATCCCTTCCATGGGCTCAGCTGCTCATCCCGCGCCGTCTCCCGACGGTCCCCAGGCACGAACATTGGCTTCCAGAGGGCAGGCATGGCGACGGACCAGCCACCTCAGTTTTTTGCGAGGCGTCGGTCGTCGGGGGACGAGGTCCGAGAGGGGCGGCTCGGGGAGAGCGGGGCTGCAGGACCGCGCGCGCAGTTTCGGGCCCCGCCCGCCTGGCGCTCCCTCCCCAGGCGTCGTGGCTGTGTTTCCAGCATGGCTCCCCGGCCCTTTCCCCGGGACGGGCTTCTCATCCCGAGCAATTGTTTGACGGTCCTTGGGCCCAGCGAAGGCCCCGAGAGGCAGCCTTCGACGGTCTTCCCCCCAGAGGCCGCTTTCGACGGTCCGCGATGGCCGAACGTAGCCAGAAGTTTTCGGGGCCCATGGGGCCCTCGGTGCCTCGGCCGCTCGGGTGCCGCGGCGAGGGCGCTCGGCGAGCCGGCCGCGCGC